TTAAAGTACTTTTATTAGTATAACCTATTAGTTATTAGTGTAAGTATAGTATTAATGGCTGTATGTATAACCATTAGTATGCAGTCTGATAATGGCTGTATGTATAACCATTAGTATGCAGTCTGATAATGGCTGTATGTATAACCATTAGTATGCAGTCTGATAATGTCTGTATGTATAACCATTAGTATGCAGTCTGATAATGTCTGTATGTATAACCATTAGTATGCAGTCTGATAATGTCTGTAGAGAGATTATTTTAAAAAGAATCTTATATCTTTATCCAGTCTCCATAAAAGTTAAACTGTCAGTTTTTAATTTTCAATAGCTGAGGTTATCCATTAAGGAAGCATAAAATCCCCTTTTTTTGTTATCAAATCCCTAATGACCTCATTAGATGCTAATTGGATACCCTGCTTTGTGAAAAGTAGTAATTGGCTAAATTAATTGATTAAGTACTTGTGTCTTTAAATTTAAAGCGAAAAGTCTGTAAAAACGTGGGAATGTGCCATTTTTCAGGGTTTCTTTTTATCCTTCCTCTTGGTGAAAATGATAAAATAGCCCATATACACCATTGGACAGTTTCTAGTTACCAATAAAAAAACAGTAAATTAGCTAGCAAACTATAGGTGGTTCAAGCCAAAAGTTTATTTAAAAAAATCAAAATATGCCCTATTTTGGAGGCTTTTTTTAAATCATCTCTCTTGGGCGTAAATCATAAAAGAAAATAGCCATTGTACACCATCAGTTTCCAATTACCATACAAAAAATTACAGTAATTGAGCCTGCTAACTCTAGGCAATGGATGCTAACACACATAATGGATCGTCTTGATAGTAAGGTGTAAATATATATTTACTGGCTAATTAATCACATTTTCAATATTTATGAGAAAGAAGCCTGAAAATCATAAGTTTAAACTTCAGTGAAATTTATAAATAACAAAAAATCTTGGAATTGAAGAGTGTTCATTTGCATTCCTAGATCGATAATTTGTCAATATTTGCCAGTATCCTTGAATTTCAGCCTATTATAATATTCAGGTTCAATTTTGTGTCCTTCTAGTTCTTTCTCCTGCTGCTTACTAAAGTTAAACTGACACACACGTAAACAAAAACTGAAAATGTTTACTTCTCAGCCATCTATGGCTTCAGATGAACTTTCTTCCATTTCATGCTGTATCCACAATTTGTTCTATCCTATCATCAGTGAATAATGACTCGGAATCAACTAAGTAAAAACAACTTAAGATTATGAAGAAAGTTGTTGTAATCAGGGGGAAATGATCATGACTTGTAAGTTATCTATATCTATATGTTTTGAAGAGGCTGTGTCAAATTTCAAGTCCTATAGTGGGCCAGCAGTAAACTTAGTCTTCAGATGCTAAAATCTGAGGTTTGATTCCCCACAGTGGACAGAGCATAGGTAGCCTATTGTGTAGCTTTGTGCTACAACATCATCATATTTCAAAACTGAAAAGTATCTATCACATTCATTTTATTTCAGATTTTTTATTTATGGATATTGTTAAAAGCAGAGGCATTAGAAATTGTTTACTGTCACAGTTACATAAGCTAGTGAATTTATTCTCATTCACAGAATGTCAACAGTAATTTCATATTGCAGGATGTGGTTGACAGTACAAACAACTATGAAGAGCAAATAGATTCATCTGCTTCTCATCTCCCTGATTCAGGAAGTAAGCACATTTAGAGCTCTTTACTTCAAACCTTTTGTAATTGTCTTTCAAGGAACTTTTTAGTTACTTGGATTTCTCTCTGCTTACAGGTTGTCACAGAATTCTAAATTCAAGAAAAGATATATTATATTTCTGGTATTTATTTTTTAATCTTATGGATTAAGTAGTGTATTAGGAAACATGTAGCAAGGATACTTTATGTTTAATGAACATTTAAAAAAAATCTTACCCATTTTTGAGTCATTTAGTAAAAAAAAATCTATTAAATACACATACTTATGGAATTGGTTGGAACAAAACTAGTTCACCAACTTTATGCTCTTTTTTTATTTTTGTTTTTAAGTGTCCAGTTTTTAGTTCTGTTAAGTTTTCAGTTACTTTAAAAAGCTTTAGTGAAAGTAGAGAGTCAGCACAGGTATCAGAAAATATTGTCAATGATATTAGATCATTTTCAGTTAATAAAGGTGCATCATATTGATTGTAAATAGCTGTAAGTTAATGACAACAGTAATAATTAATTTTAAAAAACACAGTTAATTTAGCCTTTCCTGTACAGTCTCCCTATATAATTGTTATAAGTAACACCTTGAGACTCATTATTTTTAATATATTTATATAAGGATTATATGCTTTTGTTGTTCAACAAGTTTATCTTTTGTGTCATAAGAAATCACAATGAATTATAGAAACTTTTGGGATACACCTTGTTTACTACTTGAGTGATGGACATTAATATATAACTTGAAGTATATACTTCAGATTCTGAGAGATGTGGTGCTACTGTACGTATTGAAGAGGTTACGAACTGCCCAACAATGAGCAATGAGAACCATCCAGATTCTACCCACAACAACATCGAAATGTCTGTCTCATCTGCTAGTTTAGGTGTACTCTGTGTTCCTTCTACTTCATCTAAAGTTGACATATACTCTGATGTAACACAGTCATGCAGGGATTTAAACAGTCCAGCCTACTGTTAGTATAAAAGTTTTATTATTATTATTATTATATATTTCAAGATTTTTCAAACCCACATAAGAAAACATTAAAAATATGAAGACTTAGATAAAAATAAGACCTCAACAGTGATACATAAGTACATGTAAGAAAAATTCAGATTCTACTCATGTTTTTAATTCAGTGAGATTTTATAAAATCAGCAGGTTTGATTAGGTCATGAATTTTTTACTATTATTATTTTAAGTCTGATTCTTCTCAAGTCAAGTAAAATATTGTGGCATTACAGATGATTTATTTTCATGGCTAACTAATTTACTGTAAATAATGCTGATGATTGTAAGGATTTCAATTATTACATCAAAGAAAATTGAGGTTGTTATATAAGAACCAGTTATAACTGAAGAACAAAGTAAAAGGAAAACATAAACAGCTGAACTTGTTTAATATCTAATAAAACTAGGGATTTATCAGCTTTAGATTCATTTTTAAAAGCTAAATTCTACTGTCATGTATTGTGTGCTGAAGTGATAATATGCAGTTTGTAAATCTTACTTGTAAACTAACTTTTAATATTCTAGAGAAAAATTATATCTGATCCAAATATGAATTATTGAGTGAGGCTCATACTTAATACTTCTATATATATGACCTAAAGTCCTTTTTCTTTTTACTAAAAATACATTGTTTATAAGATTAGAGATTTTGTAATAATGATGATCTAATTTTTACTGTTTTGTCTTTAATGTTAGTTTCATTAGCAGTAGTGATTGAAATGTTAATGTATATTATGTTTAATTAGATTTATTTATTAGTATGATTATTTTGCACTGGTATAACTATATGTTAGGACAATCCTAAATCTTAGGCTGATTGAGCTTTGTGAGATATTATTAGGATTATGGCCAGAATATTTCTAACTTCAACTGTGCCTACCTAATGAATTAATGCATTCTGATCATAAGTTTTTGTTTTGTGACTTTTTATACATCTAGTTGGAATATAATACTAAGTTAGCTGTATTACTGTACTTTTCGGTGTACAAGACACTTTTTTACCCCAAAATTTGATGTCAAAATCTGCTTGCGTCCTATACACGGAAGGTATGAATAATATATATATATATAAATATATGATATACACAAGCTATGTGTAAATATATTTAAATAGGCATGCATGGTTTAGTTCAATTGAATGTGTTATTTATAACAACAGTAGTTTTTTTTCTTTTAAAAACATAACTATTTATAATGCTCCCTAAATAATAAAAAAAATAAATTACAGCGAAAGCAATGAAGATTTTGTAGGATTTGAACCAAACTAAATAACAGTAAA